TATATGATGGGTTAAATTAATTAATTAATTGATTATTGCTATGAAGAGAAAGTAATTTAAATTTATTAAAATAAATGAATAAATTCATTCTTAAATATAAAGGACAGCTAAGCATTTATTTATTTGGATTAATTAAACATACTATTATTAATTACAAATCACTTAATTAAATCATGAGGAAACTATTTAGATAGTATTTAAAGTTTAAATAATTTTGAATTTAAGTTTAAGTGGACAGGCATAATTAGCTTCCATCAATACAATTAATTATTTTAGGAAATTTTTTAAATTTATTTGAAATTTTAAAAAAAATTGAATTTTGATAAAATCAAGCATTTAAAATCTTAAATAAAATTTCATATTTCAAAAAGATGAAAAATTCGACCATATTTTGAAAGATTAAAAATACTATGTGATATCATTGGAAGGAGAGAAAAATAATAATAAGAGAGAGAAAACAATAATTTTGATAAATCAAGGAATAGTCCATATCATGTGTTAAAAAAAATGGACAAAAAATATTTTATACACGGAAATTATTTAATATAGTAATGAATTAACTCGACTCTAGTTTAGATATAATGGATAAGGCTTAATTAAATGTAAGTGATCAAATATTTCAAAAATGATATTTTCATGAAAATAATGTAATAAATAACATTAAATTTTGTAAAAGTATTATAAAAATTAAAATAAATATGATGACAGTATTTTAGCATTTTTTTTTAATTCCATGAGTTCTTATTTGTCATATTCTACAATTCCTAAAAAAGATATCAACTTTTTGAGTCCAAGCTACTCTAACTTTTTCGTGATCGAGCTGAAATTTATAAATCTATAATTTCCTAAAACACTTGAACAAAAATGTTAGTATTCCTACACATATATTAGTTATCATTAAAATCTAATTGTGGGTCATAATAAACATGAAGCTAACAAAATAAATAAGTCAGGGGCACCATAGAGAAGATAGAAACTAATAGTGGTTGCAACCGTGCTCACAACTCTTCTCCACCTTGCTAGAACTATCAAAGGACAAATCCCTCATCTAATTGTTGCAGAAGAAAATTCAAACATCCATTTAATCTAGGAAATCGCTCAACTCTTAAACTTCAAAGTACCTTTTGGTTTATCTATTGGAATTTCACTATAAATTCGAAATTTAACTGTACTTGTGCTCATAAGATGAATGACTTATTGAGAAATTACATTTTAAGCCGACGCAAACAATATCTCCATGGCTGAAAAATTCATAATGTTAAAAAATTGAAGTATAAGAGTGCCCTGCTTCATTGGGGCAAAATCTTTAATATTGAGAAACTCATTAAGTAGAATGAAGTTAAATTCCAAAATGAGGTGCATTTTGATAATATGATTGAAATTTTATTAGAAACTCCAAAATGAAGCATGCCTGTATAGGAGCATTGCTCCCTTGAACAATTAAATTCATAGAACAAAATTATGAAGCCATTAAGTCAAACTCCAAAATGAACAATATCATGATTGTTGAGAATTCAGACTACTACAAATAATAAAATAGTACACCAACCAAAAGATTTGAATTATGTGTCATGCAAAGCAAAATGCAACACTCTGAGAGCCATCTCTTGAAATATAGTTGGAACAAAATGCTTCAAAGTGGGAGTCACCTCTTAAATGTATAGAGGCAACATTTAGAATTTTATGTGCTAACTAAATGATTCCAGCTGAAGGGACCAAAGGTGGGAGTTAGTTACTTAAGTGAGGAGATTATAAAATTTCTTAAATAAAATGAGGATAAAATCCTAAACATCAAAGGACCCTTTGATGTGAATGTTGGAATTTCATTAGAAAATTACAAGGTAGCTTGATCAAATGAGAGCTATCCAAGATCAATGACACCCTGAGAAATTACACCAATAAGATAGAATTATAAAGCCATAATGTCAAAAAGGAAAATATCTTGATAATTAAAAGTTTGGGCTTTAAGATAATAAACCTATCTTAAACAAAAGCCTTATTCCAACTGACATCAATGATACTCATTTATGTTTTGTTATCATTTCGCAAGTGTGCTACGGCCATTTTTTACAAAACTCTCAATAGTCATTTCGACCACTGATGTTATTACTTCTTTTGGCATGGCTACAACCACCCATGCAATCTTAAATTATAATATTGTTTCCCGTATATTAGGTAATTGACAACTATTTTCACTTAACACGACCTCCCTCCTAATGTTATTTATTGTCCTTGATAGTTCAATAAAAAAATCTATCCTAGCAATGCCCTCCAAGTACTCTCCTAACACTAATAGCCACAATATCTCGCTTATAGGTTGCTACTTGGAGGACTCGTCTACGTTCTAATAAAGAACCTCTATCCATCTTCTTTATTATGGATGAGCATCAGTCTAAAACTAAGCCCGTGAATATACACTTTTCTATTGCTTTAAAAAAGGAAAGCATAAATGTAGTAAACTTCCACTGCACTATGTAATGTTCTGGGAACATCTATCCTCCTCATTACATTGTGTTTATCTTATATTTGTACAATATCTCTATTTTCAAGACATCAAGAAGTTTTGCTTGACCCTACTAAGAAGCATGTAGTAACTAAAATGGGTGCTCTTTTTTATTACCATAATTAAAAATTGGATATACCTCCGGATATTAAATTTATTTCATGCCACTGGCCTTATTATCATGTTCATCTTAATAGCTTTATTGAAAGCTAGAGATATAAATTAGTGAAGATAGAGTAGATATATATCTATGACATAATTTTGAGACTTTCTATTTTATTGCTTAAGTTATGATATATCCTTTTCTCTTTATTGCTATCAATCAAAGATAGACTATCTTGCAAATTGATGTCAGCAATGCTTTTCTAAAAGGAATCTTATTGAAGCTATTTATATGGAGAAAACATTTCAATTCATATCTCAGGAGGACATCAAAATATGCAAATTTAGAAGCAAAATTTTGCACATGTTTTCAAAAAACTATGTAAAGTTCTGGTTGATATTGGACTAGAAAATACTACTGATCATTTTATATTCATTCACCATTCATGTTATAGCATAATGAGGCTTACCATGCATGGTGATGATATTCTTCTCACTTGGGAATTGAATTTGCATGCAAGCAGGAGTTTCTCTCTCTAAAACAAAGAAAATGTTCCAAACATTCTTAAACAAGCAAGTCTTCTCAAATGCAAACATGCTGACTCTCTCATGGAAGCCCTACAAATAAATAAAAATACCGAAATCTATGAAGAAACCTTTTCATTATAGTCATTTTGGTCGATAAGCTATCTATCCCATATTTAAAAGCCCCGACTGCCACCAATCTAGGGTTTCTAAATGGTTCATAAGGATTAATTAATAATTGGGGAAGTTGAAAGACATGAGAAATGGTAAAAAAACTAAGAAACAAAATCATTTGGAGAGGGAAATAGATTGACAGCTACAATTTTAGGGACAACACAATGAAGAAAAGAGATCCAACACCTAGAGAGGGTGATACAGCACTCCAAAGAGGTTAAAACCGGAGAAAACAATCTCCACAAAAATCAAACCAAAAGTTTCTAATAGGTTCAAAGGAACATATTAATAAAAAAGAGGAAAAAAACCCTGATTCACTCCTAAATATGGTAAATAGGCCCTAAGATGGAGCTGCCTTTCCCCCGATTCCTGGACAGGCCCAGAAAAACTGTTCTAGCCAGTTTTGTAGTTCTGTCAGCATCCCAGGCAAATGTACACATCAATTATACATCCCTTATTATTAGTATAATTATTTAACGTATGCAAAATTTATTTAAAAAAAATATTGAAAGACAACACTAATGATTTTGAAATATGTTAATGTTAATAAATATTCTAAAAATGACTAGCCTATCAAAAATAATAATGACTGAAGGACTCAATCTTATGCAGAAGTTATGCTAGGTTGAATAATGATAGATGATAAATTTTGGACGTTATATTTTTGTTAGTGGAAATCTAGTAATTTGGTATGGTGTTAAAGCAAAATAATAGCTATGGCTCACAATACCTGTAAATGACTAGTTCAAAACATAATTGAGTTAGATTTTCACACTACCCAATACATGATTCTAAACTGTGATAATAAAATCACTAACCATATTACTAGAAATTCAATCTTTCATGAAAGAGCTAAATATATTGAAATTAATTATCATTTCATTATTAAGGACATTGTTTTATAAAAGAAATTCATTATTCAGTAAGTTGTTAGTGAAGAGCAATTGCTAGATATTTTTTCCAAGGCACTAGAACCTTTCTATTTTTCAAACCTATTTAAGAAGTAAGAGCTAGTTGATATACATGCTGCAACATAAGGGGAGTGGTAGTGCGAGGAAAAAATCAAGTTGGGAAAGCCGTCAATATTTAGTGAGTGATGTGCCATTATTTGATCGTACACATTCCTCTATTTGAAACCTCCATCAAATAACAACAAAAAAGCATTTCCCCTCTACTAAGGCTGTAGAAGGATAGGGCTAGAGCACTCAAAGACTGTTGAAGTTACTACTTCAAGTCCTGCAAGAAAGGTTAGCCCCAAAACCTTAAAGATTAAAAACATAAGAAACGTCCAAATTTCACTGGGTTTTATATGTCACCCTTGAATCAAAACTGGCAGCCTACATGTATAACAGATCTAAGGATATTCATGTTGATGAGGCAACATGAAAACTTAATAGTTACTCCAGATTTTCTCATGATTTTATAGACTAATCAACAATATGCTTATCCCTATTACAGAATTTGCAGGAGAAAATAATATAAAAGTTTCAAATATGCATCTGCAAATCTTTGCATTCTTATAAAAAACTATATTCACAGGCAATTTGAAACTAGGGGTTAGATAAAATAAGAAAATTGCTAACTCATCCGCACATGAATTCTTGCATAAATTAGTAAAAGTTAATGCAAAAATAAACTTCTAAAGATAACCTCTAGTGAGAGAAATAATCAATGTAGGCAATATGACTGAACAAACCTGTCATAGCTAGAGCCAATTAGTGGAATTGTAACCATCTCATCCTCAGAAATCTTGAGCTTTGGTGCTTGCAAAATGTATCGAAGCTCCGCAGCTTGACGTCTGATACTAACACTAGGGTGCTTCTTCTCTAATTGTTGATAGAGAGCAATGCAATCCCTGTGTCGATTGTTGGCCTCATAAGCCATTGCAAGCCAAATTTGAATCTGAAATGCCAAAAAAAAATACTTAAAATTATTCTAAATGTTGTTTGCAACCATAAATAATCTATTCTGATCAGAGTCGGACTGTAAATATAGCTTTAGGCTAGACTACTCCGAAGCCACAAAAAATGCTTTACTTAAAGCTTCTTGAGAATGCATAATGTGAAATATGAACTTTGCCGATGTGCTTAATTAAATTATTGCCAAACAATTTCACAATATGTGTAAGTTGCGTCCACAATAACAATCCATCAAGAGGTAAGAAAAAAAACCTCAAAAATTGAATCTACCCATCCCAAAAATTAGCCTTCAATGCATAAAGACATGGAAATGGATAAATCCACAAAAATTAAAAGTAACAACTTCCATTTCATAGCCATAAATATGCACATTCTACTTATGCCCTTAATTGCCAACTTATTTGTCAAGTTGTTGAGCCTCATTAATGAACTGTGAAAAAATGTTATTAAGAAGAGATAATACGCCAACAACTTCTTGATAAGGTAGTCGTGGGTGCCTGCAGAAGATAAAGAAGCCCCTTTCCATGGCTTCAATGGTAAAGCTTCCTAAAGGCATACAATATTAGATATAATATTGAGGATTTCACATGTAATTTTAATTGTCTTACATTTTCAATATAACAAGTGTATGCAGTTATTAGGATTTTATCATAGAAGAGGCTAAAAAATAGCATACAATGCATTAGGCCGTAAATTTCTCTTAGAAGAACTTTATCGTTGTCAACATTTTGGAAATTGCGCAAAGCAGAACAAATAAGAAGAAACATCGGTTGGGCAAACATGTATTAAAATTCTTGATGTCTTTCTGTGTTTGATTTCTTCCGTTTATGTGATATCAATGATTTGAATTATATCGTGAACTAGTACCTCAACACTATCATCAAAAAGACTCACAAAAAATAATTGATCTTGTATCATTCCTGTAGACAATGACAAATCTGTGTTGAGAAAAAACGTTGAAAAGAGAAAAAGATAGCATATTGTCACCTCCCAAAAGAGCCCTTATGGGTGGTGGGCAGCCCAGGACTTAAATACTGCTTTTCGGCCCTACACCTAGCTGATGTGGGACTATTTGTCCGTGACATTCTCCTCCACCCAATCACGTGACGCCCTCGTCACGGATCGGCTCCACCGAGGGTCCCACTGGACCATGGAGAGTCCACACACCTGGCAGGCAGTAGTCTGCTCTGATACCACTTGTCACCTCCCTGGGACTTAAATACTGCGCCCTTATGGGTGGTGGGCAGCCCAGGACTTAAATACTGCTTTTCCGCCCTACACCTAGCTGATGTGGGACTATTTGTCTGTGACAATATGGTTTCAACCTAAAGAACCCTCATATTGAGCATATAAACCTCGATATCATAGATTTCGATATAACATGCCATAAACTGGTTTGTTATTATTAGAACACGGCCCCATACAGCTCAGATATGCGGAAGGCACAATTCTCTTCGAAGAACTCAGAAAAATGAATCATGAATACATCATGTGCAAAAACAAATCACCTCCCCACCAAAGAGTGTTGGCCGAGGAATAATGGTGAGAGCTGCTTCTAAAAACTCGATGGCCCTGGAATACATCCCCTTCCCATATGCCTTCTGCCCCAGCTCAAACATTAGCTTGGCCGTCTCCCTCCGCTCCGCCTGCTCCTTGGCCAGCTACTCTTATCAAAAATACAATAACAAATTAAAAATAACAAATCATTCATTTTGTATATTTAAGCCCAACAAAATCATTTAATTAAAGAAGCCGACCTTCTCGAGCTCACGACGGACGCGCTCGCGCTTCTCCTCCTCGCTCTCGTCCTCGCCGCCTCCCTTGCCCTCTTCTTCAGCAGTGACTGGGGCGCCGCAGCTCTGCAGCTCCTCAGCGCGCTTCTCAAGCTCCTTCATGTCCTCCAGCTCCTTGAGCCGGTTGAGAAGCTCCTGCTCCCAATCACCCCCGCCACCGTCACCAGAAGGGGGTGAAGAAGAGGAAGAAGAGGAGGCGGAGGGACCCATCTTAGTTTTCTTACGACGGTGAAGTGGTGACGGCGGTGGTGGGTGGGAAATCTCTCCTCCGGTAGTGGTAAACAGGGATGGAAGGTAGGACTTAGATACCACGGCTTCCGGCCGACGCCGCTCCACCGTCGTCGTTGCCGTCAGTGCTGCTGGCGGATCTCGTTTCCTCGATGACAAAGAAGCTTCAGGTAGAAGAAGCGCAAGGTTGCTTAAGAAAAGCGCGGCAGCCATTCTCGCTCGCTCGCGGGGCGATGTGGGCTGCAATGAAACTGGAAGATATTTTTGTTTCTTAGATACTGCGGATGGAAGTGAGAAGGTGGTTTGCGTTCTCCTGCAAGAAAAACAATGGAAAAACGTAAAATGGCGACTTCACTTTTCGTAGCGCGCACCAACTACTGCAGTCTTTGCGTGCACGAGTCAGTTGAGTGCACCATGTACGGAATGGTAAAAATCTCATGATCATATGGAATAATTTGTCCTAAGTAGAGTAAGGATTATTATGACAGAACTTTTTAAATCGATTATTAATAATTAAGTTTCCTTATTTTACATTTAAAAAATTTATAAGTTGACATTAAAGCCAATTTGAGTGTTCATAATCATCAATCACACTGACAACATTTATTTAAAAAAATTAGAGGTAGGTTTTATTTCAAAAGAAAAAAGAAATATATGGTAATAATGTTTAATAGAAGAAAATTAAAAAAATAAATAAAAGACAAACTATGAAGAAAAAAACCTTACAAGAAGATAACAAAGATTAAAAAAATAAACATCAATATAAGAGAAGAAGGCTTCATAAATATCAAAGACGAGTCAAGCTAGCATCTTTAGAATCCTTTGAAATTACAATATTTGGAGAAATTTCATTCTGAGACTTCAGCTATATCTTCAGTTCAAAGACTTCATAACATCAACTAATTTATCAAGCTAATCTAGAAAAAACCTCAAAGAAAACCAAATAAAGAAAAATAAATCTAGTAAGTAAAGAAATAAAGCGTAAAATGATGTTGCAAAACCAAACACCGAGTCAACCTCAACATGTCTGATAACATTCATCCAATATTTAGATTTTGAAGTTCAATAATTGGAGAAAAGGCCAAAAGAAAACAATAAGTTATATATCAAAGTCCAAAAATAACAATCGACAAACCACAGCAGCTTCTAACAATAATCATCTAAACCAAAAGATTAAACATAAAAGATAAGAACAAAATCAATCCATCAGAAGGAAGGCAGAAAAGAGTAAGAGATCTAAAGAAAAGAAGTGGACCCCCCCAAAAAAAACATAAAGGCTCCATCTAAGATTAGAAAAAAAAATTCACAAACAGTTGAATAACTGGCGTCTTTGGAAATCATCAATGTTGAAAGATCAAATTAAAATGTCAAAAAACCAATCTAAATCAAGTGTAGTATCAAAATATTGATACGGACTAAATGCCAAAAAGCACCGGTGAATCACACAAGTATATTTGCCATTCAAGTAGTATATGGAATAGAGTTTGTGTATAAATCCTATGAAGAACGAGTGAATTCAAAATGTCTGAAAATTTTTTAGCCAAATGGTTTCTAGTCTAGCCTGAAGGTTCCATTATTGGTGAATTTTTAAATTATACAACCTAATCTTTACAAAACAGAAATTTCTAGTTTAAATGTGAGAAGTAAATATAGCAAGTGAAAGTTTCTCCCCTAATTTGGATCCTAAAATCCTAGCGTTTACAAAGTGACAAATTTGATGGTGACTATCAGGAACAAATTTCTTTGACCTAAGGGGACTTACAGTGACCCCGCCACCCACAGATCAAAACTTCGACACATGTGTGTGTGTGTGTGTGTGTGTGTGTGTGTGTGTGTGTAATTATAAATGAACGAAGAAGAAGAAAGGGGAAGGCGGGCTTGCGGTGCTAAATTTGTTGAGGGAAAAGGAGGAGGATGGGGTTTCAATCCTATGACTTTATGTATGTTAAAAAAAACAATGAAGGGGAGAGAGAGGGCTACTGAATCGACAACTTAAGCAAGGGGGGTTGTGAAGCTTTAACCATCACTTGCCTTTTTACAAGAATAACGAAAGCACCAACTCAAGGCAACAAGAAAGAGTTTGGGATTCTAATTCGGAAGGCGACAACATTGAAATCACAAAAAAAAAATTGGAAAGACAACTTATCAAGCTTCGTTTGGAAACACTTTTGGGCTCCATTGTGTTGGACAAAAAGCCCACAGAATGTGATTCTATCATTTGGAAAAGCAATTTATCCAAAAGTTCTTTCAATGCAATTGTATTTTTCTTTATCCGTGCTCCATTTTGCTACAGTTGGTGGTGTCCTGTTGTTTTTTTACAAAAGGTCAAAATTAGCCTTCAAAAATTGTCATTTTTCTCGTAACTTTTTTTGTGAGACCTAGGCTTTGTTGTTGTGGGGGCACCAATGCTTTTTTTTTTCTCTCATTTTCACTGTTGGCATCGCTGTCGTCGCTGTCGTCACCGTCATGGCCTATGCTGCCAACGTCGCCGCCTCCGCCTCTATGTTTTTTTACAAAAGGTCAAAATTAGCCTTCAAAATTTGTCATTTTTCTCGTAACTTTTTTTGCGAGACCTAGGATTTGTTGTTGTGGGGACACCAATGCTTTTTTTTCTCTCATTTTCACTGTTGGCATCGTTGTCGTCACTGTCGTCACCGTCATGGCCTATCTATGGTCATTGGGAACCAAAAAAAGGACTGCCAACGTCGCCGCCTCCGCCTCTGTCCGCCTCTACCGTCGCCGCCATAGACCTTGCTGGTGGGGCCATTCTCAAAAGAGTAATAGCGCTAGATTTAGTAGTACAACAGATAATTTTAGAAGTTTTGGGTTATTTTTTCTTTTATCGTGAGAAAAACTGCAAATGAAAATTTGTATTCAAACAATATATTGACTTTAGAAAGACCTTTATATTGTTGTTTCTCCTAAAGTTATGTTTAAACGAGCTTTTATGCATGGTGAAGTGGTCCCAAACAAGGGCTTGATAACAGGTGAAGGAGAAAGGAAATAATCTTATGGGAGATCACACAAAGCTCCAAATCAAGAAGTCAAATTAGTAGTGAGAATCAAAGGGAAGAAAATTTTAGGATTTCTATTATCAAAATGTGGTGCGAGAGTGAGTGGAAGGGATGAAGGAAAACAAATTTTAGTTCATACAAATATATCAACTATTCTTTCAATAAATTGTCAAATCATTTTAGGATGTTGGTCCCTTATGTTTTGTGAAATCATATATCTGAGGAGACAACTTGTGAGATGAGTAGAAGAGATGGAGAGAGAGAGAGAGAGAGCTTTCCCTCCCCTTTCTCTATTTATAAACCCCCTTGGGTGTCCTTACCCTCGTAAGGCTACAAAAAGAGTAAGACTTCAAAAAATGTTATATTATAGGCTGTACTGTACAGTGACTATCAAAAAATTATTATTGAAAAGATATCGATGTGGGTGTCAAGTAATCCATAAGTGGGCTTAGATAGTAATGTGTTAGATTCTTCTTCCTTCTGTCAATAAGTTAACTTTGAAGGGCTAATAAATAAACTCCATGATGAAGCTTAACAAGTGTAGATGAGCTTGGCAAAGGAGTTTGATAAGTATGGGAGAACTTGATGAAGAAGCTCAATAAGTATAACCAACCTCGAAGGAGGAGCGAGAAAGAATGGACGAGCTCAGTAGAGCAGTTAGAGAAGTACGAACGAGCTTGGCAGAAGAGCTCTTTTTTGCGAAAGAAAAAAGTTGTATTTTTCATAATTAATTATATATATTGTTTCATTATTATGATAGTATTATACTTGTGAAAGGTATATTTTTTTTGTGTTTTCCGGGATACTGGGGCGAAGCAAGCTTAGGATAACTAAAGGATGAAGTTGGACCAGTTAATAAGGTAGTGCCCACACACCAAGGAGCAATGAATCTTTTCATTTACCTCTATCATGGAGAGCACATAAAGGTCAAAATGCTAGTAAACTAGTGTCAGGTTCAAACATGTCCATACTAACATCTAGTGGAAGCGGTAAAACTATACCTAGTAACAACACGTATACATTGCCATCCATAGGGGGTGTCAGACCTGCGTCAGGCTATACCATTAGGGGCTCTTGTTATATAGGTTGACAAGTTCAGAAGGTTTCATGGCGATGTTTCGAACCTCAAATATATAAGGATCTATCTTGGAGAGCTTCATGGACACTCTAGTTATTGATGACTTTGTTTTCTTACTTCGGGGAGCATTTTCTTGGAGCCTAAGGGTTTCTACTTAAGGTTAGCTTTGAAGAGTTATTTGAGGGTTTGTTTTAGAGAGAATTTTAGAGAGTTTAATAGGATGAGATCCTTGAGTGCTTGTATGGGAGAGATCAATGACATAGTTCGTTCATTGTAGGGAGAGGATCGTGGTGTACTTCAAAAAGAGGCATCTCTAGTTTTAGTTTTATGTATTTGTTTACATTTCTAATTTCATTAATTAAATGAAACTTCTTGTGTTTTCTTTTATCATGCATAATAGCTAAGGAATTTCATACTCTATGATGTATACATTTGATTAAATCAAACTTTTCTCCATGAAATTTACTTATACTTTTTGTATGTTTTAAGATTGGTTTATATTGATGTGTTAATTTTTTGCTAGTCATGTCACGACCCGGTCAGAGGCTTGAAGTTAACTAAGACATGAACGGACAACCAAATGGTGGAAATCAATTATCTATTGTTCCAATTCTATCACAAATAATTAAATATTCAAATAATACATGAAAGAGCCACTAAAAAAGCAATTAAAATTAAGAAATAAAAAATTTGTACCTTTTTGTTTGTTGTTCTCTTCTTTTATACAAATTTGCTCATATTCTATTTATCTTGCTCACATGTTTAACGAATATGAGAAAATGTGTATAAAAGAATGAGTTATCAGATAACATGTGTGTAAATAAACATATTTCTAAATTATAGCAATCCAAGAAAAAGAATTCAATAAATATGCAAGTCTATAAAAAATCTTATAATACGTTGGTCTTTCCTATTTTTTATAAGCAATCTGATATATGTTAATGCATGCATCAATGATCTTTTATAAATGAAAATATTAAATCTTTTATAAACATTTACTTTAACTTTACTTTTATTTTATATTTTACAAACGCATTTGTCTCTGTAAGGATCACCGTCAACAACCTAACACGCCCTTGGCTGACATTGCCCCTTCGGCTCCTATCCACATAATGGTTAGCGATCTACATATGGCAACTGTCTATGGTGGAAAGACCTTTACCTACCACTAGCTGATATTATCCTGACGGCACAACAGTTAATAATGTGAACATCATAATTGTCTGGGGAGGTAAGCTCCTCTGGCCGATATTATCCTATCAATACAA